CTGTTTTCATGAGAAGCCACTTTGAAGGTATCAATATGTAATACAACAACCATTGTTAATTCCCTACCACTTTGTTGGTAACTCTGTATTGTCTGTACTGTGCTTGTGATATGTTGTAAAATGTTGTATGTCTGTTAATGTTTCCCTCCTTTTATCTTTAAAATTAAAAAAAAAAAAAAGCAGTGCGGCAGTGATCTGCCTAGATAGCAGTATCTGTTAACCTGATACTGATCTTCTAGAGCAGCGGTGGCGAACCAATGACACATATGCCACAGCAGGCATGCAGAGCCCTCTGTTTTGGCATGTGAGACAAGCCACCGCAACCAAGGTTTGACAACTTATCAGCAAAAATCACTTTAATTGTGCAAAAACTTGCCAAATGAAAACTTTCACCTTTCAATAAAACCTGCTTGTATTATTGAAAGCTCTATTACTGTGTTTTTCTTTTTTCTTTTTGAATTAGGATCTCATTATGTAGTCCACGCTAGCCTTGAGCTCATGACAATCCTCTTGCCTCTGCCTTCCAACTGCTGGGACTACAAATGTGTGGTACCATGCCCAGCCTGTTACTGTTTTACTTTTTAGACAAAAGGTGTTAATATATGAGTTGTTTTTTCTAAACTAAAACCTCAGTATTCAGCTTTAATTGCATTGTTGACATTTTGTGCTAAATAAGTGGGTTTTGGGCTGCAGTTTGGGCACTTGGTCTCTCAAAGGTTTGCCATTACTGTTTGAGAGTATTCTATATATATATGATCAAGTCATGTTTTAAAAGTTGATTTATCTCCTCTTATACCTACTTATCTGTGTTTTGTTGGTATGTAAGTGCTGTGTTTTTATCCACAGATAATACTTGTGTCTAGTGGATGTCTTCCATGGTTGTACTTTTTAATCCATTATGATAATTACTCATTTCTATTTCTTATGAGTAGAATGATTTTCATTTTCTTTGTGCTTTCAAAATGGCTTAATTTTGGATGTTCATTTGTAGAGAACAGAGTGAGTGTCATAAAAGTGTATTTCAGTTATGCATTAAAGCTATCATAGAATTTGAAATTTAGCACTCACATATTTGAATATTTATACTGTTGGTGTTTTTGAGTTACTAAAGCTTCACAGAGGATATATTTGCCATGTGATTAAGGAGCTCTGAAAGGGAGAGCTTTTTTAAAAGGGACAAGTAGGTGAATCAGAGTAGGCAAGCAGTGAATCAGAGTAGGCAAGTGTCATCATCTGGTTGCAGGCTGAAATGTGGTGTGTGGATAGAGTATTGGCAGTGGAAATGTAGGTAACAGGTTAAATCCTGAAAGTTAACATGGGGTCAGTTGTAAAATCTTGTATGTTATGATACAAATCTGAATTATGTTCTAATTAGCAAATAGAGGTTTTTGAGTGGAGATTAACCTAATTATTAGAATTCCTCCCCCTCCTCCCCAGTTCATCCCCCCCCCCAGTTCAATTCAGGTTGATTAGGGAAATTATAAAAATAGAGACCATGTAGTATTACCTTTTTTTGAATAGGTAAAAAATAATGATTAGTAATGAGACTGGGAGGCAAGGTCTATATTTAGGAAGCTTTACAATGAGAAAAAAATGGTTCCGTCAGTTACCCTTTGATTTTGCTTCATAAGAGCTCATAAAGCTTGGTTCATGAGAAGGAGATGAAAGTTTTCCTTGTAGATGGACACCTTTTGAAGTACAGTGACAAGAAACGTTTATTGCTGGGAAGATTTAATTGGACTAGTTCAGAGAGGACAGTACTGTTGTTAATTTATTTGGTAATATTCACTACTATCATTGAAAAGTTGAAGACCAAAAATGTTTGACTTCTTGGGTGTTACCTGATAGCAAATGGAATAGGATATTTTCAAAGAAAAAAAGTCATTAATTTTAATACTAGTATTTACATTGATATATATTTGTAATTTTGAACCTCCTTTATACTAAATGCACTTTGAAATTATTAAATTCTGAGTGTTCATTTCCTAAACAGTATATGTTATTGAGCTGTGTGGGTTTATGAGGGCAGGAAGCAGTTGTATGTTTTATATGTGCTGTGAATTATAAAATTGGGGAGGTTTCTACTGTTTCCAATCTGTCTCACTTCTGACATTAATATTTTGCTAGGTTCAGGTGTCAGCTTAAAGTGCTGGTCAGAAATCAAATTATTAGTATAGGCATGGGGTATTAAAATAAAGCAGAACAAGGTCATTGTTGCTGGGCTTTCATTAGCAGGCAGGTTATGGGGTACAGGTGGCGCCTTCTCCATCACCACTGTCCAGTACTCTTAATGGTTCCCTGAGAGAGGTCTAAAACATGTCACTGAATTCACATGTTGACAGAGGCACTAAAGAAAGTGCAAGTTGTGCCATAAATGTAAGGTTCAAACTATTCAAGTCAGGGTCTATTTTAAAAATTTGACAAAGTCTTTAAAATTTAGGAATGTGTATTTTAATTAAATATGTTTGTGGGCTAGTGGCCATGCAGTTTTGTTACTTTACTATGCTCCCTCTTCTTTTTCCTCTTCTGTTCTTCCTCTTCCTCTTCTTTTTTTCTTCTTTTTCTTCTTCCTTTTTCTCCTCTTATCTGTCCTCTTCTTACCCTTCCTCTTCCTTTTCCCTTTCCCCTTCCCCTTTGTTTTCTCCTTTTCCTTTCCTTTCTCCTTGTCCTCCTCCTTCGAGTCTTGCTATGTAGCCCAGGCTGGGCTTGAACTCATGGGCTCAAGTAATCATCCTACATCTGCCTGCTGAGTGATGATGGTACTACAAGTGCATACTGTTGTACCTGGCTTAGCCTTCTAATTGGGGAATATGGAAAAATATAACAGCAAAATTATTATGTTTACAAAAGGAAGCAGGTCTTTAGAAGCAATATGGCACTAATGAAATTTAGTTGCTTTAAGAGGTACAATATTTAGGAAATGAGGTTTTATAGTGAGTTTGAGCCTGAAAGTGAATATAATGACTGGTGATATTAGTTGTTGGTAAAGTAATATGAGCTTATGTCTGTTAGCTGTCAGAATCAACTAAATGTAAAACAAATGAACTTACTGTTTTAGAACAGTATTTACAAAAATACAAAAATAGTCCCACAAGGTTGTTGGCTATCCTAAAAGAGAATAAGATAGAGGGAGGGTTGACCAAAACAAGAGGAAAGGATGAATTTGCCTAAGTTTTGAGCCTCAAGCTTGACATTTCAGGTTATATAACATTTATCTATTCTATAACATATTATATAGATATTTAAGTGTGTTATATATTATAATTTATACAGGACTATTCTAAATTATAAAGATTATACTCAATATATTATGTAGAATAACCACTTAATAATAAAACTTTAAGTACTGATTTTCAGGTTTGTCCTGTATTGGTGGAGCTACTACTGGAGAACTATTTATATATAATGTGCTTTCATTTTTCTGTTTTGTGACAGTTAATGCCATTCACAATATTCAAGGAATTTTATATCTCTGTTACTCATTTCCATTCACCAAATGATTTTATTTAGTAGTGTTTCTGATCACTGGAAACTTGCTTGAGAACTGAAACATTGATAAAATATGGGATGGTTCTTCCAAATGTAGTCTCTTTCCCAGTTACAACAAAGAAACTTTTTTTTTAAATCGGAGGAGCATTGTGTTTAGCTTACTAAAGAAGTCATTAATGACTTTGTCTATCCCAAATTTATTTGAAAGTGTGAATATAGGCAAATTTCTGATGTATATAGGCAAATTTATATTTTCTTTTTTGTCTTAGAGTTATTTTTAAAGTAATTATTCATCAATTAAAAGTTGATGTCTGGTATGCTATTGTTACCTTGAGTTGATTATACTTCTTCTTTTTTTTAAGGTAAAGTGCAAGTTAAGAGTTCAGACATACAAGTTGGAGACCTCATCATAGTGGAAAAGGTTGATGCATTTTTAATGTATTTTAGACCGATATATACCATGTGTGAACTGTAATTCTAATTGCAAGTAACTTATGAAAAGGAAATTGAGACAGGTATTTTACATCTTAATATCTGTGTGTAAGATTTAATGTTTTTGAACAAAATCCACATGTTTATATGTTGTCTCATTTGCTAAAGTATATTTCACCTGTGGGTAGTATCATATTTTGTGTAAAGTAAAACATATTAACTGTTTAATGTTGCATTATAAGAATTATTTCATTTGCCCACAGAATTGTTTTAGAGCCTCTTACTAATATTCTACCTCAGTTTTCAAATCTTCTGTACCTGTGTTATAGTTTTTATCGTTTAAAAATTCAAAAAGGGAACAGGCTAATAGAAGTAAAATCACAGCAAAAGAAAGCATTTAGGTAATTTTGAGAAAAAGCCATGAAAAAAGAGAAATAGAAGATTAGGAATGGAAATCGTCAGGGCTGCTTATGGTCTGGAGAGTGATTGAATGGGCATCTGTGTTTCGAGGTTTAACTCTGAAGTGCTGTCAATGCTGCAACCCAGGATGTGTGAGTGTTGTGCACAGTACAAGTGTTGTTTGTCCTTGGAATGTTAGTGCTGTGTATGTTATTTCCTGTAGAAATGCCTATGCTTGGCATCTGTATTCTTGTTTAATGTCAGTGTTGACTTTTTTTTTCTGTATTTAGGATTGAACCCAGACCCTTTGCATTGAGATACTTACCCAGCCCTTTAAGAAAAAAATTGTTTTAAAAAAGTTTTGAGACAGAATCTTACCAAAGTTGCCACGGCTTGGCCTGAGCTTGTGATCTTCCTGCCCCAGTTTTTCAGAGGGCTGAGATTACATTCAGGTACCACCATACCCAGCTTTGACTTAGCTTTTTAAAGCTCTGAAAATAATTTTTGATAAGTTTATAGGACAGGTTCCTGTCAGATCTCCCACAGAGTAGTCTGAGTCCTGTCACCTGGTAACAGGATCTGGGGCAGATCTACCCCCTGAAGTAGTCTTCTAGCTGAAGTAGTCTTCTTGTTACATGTATCTTCAGACCATAATATTAAGTGAAGTAAAGCAGAAAACATGGTTTCTCTTGCATGAGAAACCCAAAATATAAATAAAAAGCAAAATAAAAAATAGATAAAAGGAAAGAGCTAGAACTTGTGCAGAAAGGAAGGAGACCTAGAGATGGAGAGAGGTGAAGAGGATAAAGAATTAAAATAAGGTATGTATACATGTCAGCTCCTCACGAGGAATATAATCATTATGTACTAAGATAATGTACTAATAGAAATAAAAACTGGAAAAAAATCTACACAAAGAATATGGTCTGATTTTATAAAATGGGATAAAACTAAACAATATTTTGCAATTCATTTGCATAGTGTTCAGTTGAATGGATACTGTTAGTTACTAGCTTTTCATTCACTTGATTTTTTAGTAAGATTCTGTTTTTTCCACTATTTCAAGATGCTGAATGAATATCTTACATATATCTGTGTACATTTCTATAATTCTGATGAAGTTGATTCAGCCTATTAGTGATATAAATTTTGATAGTTTATTCTGCTTCTGTCATAGGCTGTATGTTTGCTGTATTGGTGGTTATATTACTTTAAATACTTTTAAGTATAAAATGCTGATATTTTATTTTTTGATGCTGGAGATTGAGCTGAGGGCCTTGAGCATGCTAAGCACACACTTTACAACTGAACCTTTGTTATATTTTAAATATGGTATTGCTGCTTGGGATGTTTCCATGCATTCCCTGCCTGTGGGTCGACCAAATGGGGAGCTGAGTGCCACTGTGACTGCAAGTGAGTATGAGCAAATAGAAATTGAAGGAGGAGAAATAATTCATAATAAACAAAAGAAAAACAACTGGTATTATTAAGAAGGGGAGGAAGCAACCTCAGGTCAGGAAAAAACATAGGTGAAAGGGTTAGTGGCATTGCAAAGTATGGCTCATCTAGGGAATTTTTATGCTGTTATGCTTTAAGAGTAGAGTTGATATTTTTAAGGACAGATTGTATTAATAAAATGTTTTTCATGTCACACTGGCAATATCGTAAAATGTCATGTCCTATGTTAATTTTTTATTCTCTTCCCGATTTGGTAATCCATGTAGACATTTTAATAAGACAGTGATGTGAAGTCCCTTTATCATTTGTTAATTTTTACTACCGATTTAATTTTTTTTTAGGTCTATAGATACCATGTTGCTTTGAAAATGATGTTGAGCAACAGAAATTTTCTTGAATCTAATTCCTTTACTCTTACATGTTGAATTTTTACACATAGAATAGTTTTCAGGATATGTGTTGTGGAAAACCATGAGTTTCAACTTTTCTGAATTAGGCCCAATGTTAAGGCCTTTTATTTTTTTTATTTTATTTTTATTTATTTATTTTTTTTTTGGTTTTTCTCCGGTACCGGGAACCGAACTCACGACCTTGCACTTGCCAGGCAGGCGCTTTGCCGCTGAGCTAAATCCCCAGCCCCAGGCCTTTTATTTTTTAAAGAAGTCATTTGCAAGAATTCATTGTGTTTTTTTGTTTGTTTGTTTTTTTCAAAAAAGCAACCTTTTGTTAAAAAATGGGCATTATGTGATAAAAACCATATAAGCTGTGGTATCAAAATCTTAACATGCAAAATCTTAACATGCAGAATATTATGTGCTCTGAATTATTCTGGAGTTTAATATAAATGAGATAAGGGCTGTTAAACTATTTAAATAAAAATAGCAGCACAGTTTGTAATAGCTAAATCTTGGATACAACCCAAGTGCCCACTAACTGAGGAAGGAATAAAAAGATTTGGTCTTTTTATACAATGGGGTACTACTCAATCATAAAGAAGAATAAACTTGAAACTTTTATAGGTAAATGGATGCAACTTGAGAACCATACTCAAAATGGCAGTAAATGAGACTCACATGTGTAGACACCATGTTAGCTTCCTGGAATGAGAAATTGAAAGAGTAAATGAGGTCTAGAATGGACAACAGAAAATGTGAAATGGGAAGTAATTATTTAAAAGGAAAAAGGAATGAGGAGGTAGGAAAGGGGAAAGGAAGGAAGGGAAAAAAAGAAAAATACAGGGAAGCTATACTATTACTGTCTCTCGGTTCATTCAAAAGGAAGGTGTGTGCAAATATCAAGTGGAAAATTTTTTATTCCCATATCTTGTACTCTGAGTAACTACTTTGAAGATGACAATATGCGATGTATTAACTATTGTTTTTTCCTATTATTTTGTTATGAAATTGTTTTATCTTTTTTTAATATTTTAAAAAATTTAAATATTAAAAAAATCTATTCAGAGTAAAGGTTATATTATATCTTTATGCATTTAAGGAAAAGAAATGCCAAAGATTGTTTCTGAGCTTCACAGGGAGACTTTAGAATAGTGATAGTGAACCTTTTAGAGCTTTCCATGAGACAGACAACCTGCTCCAGCATGTGTGCCATAAGTTCGTCTACCACTCCCTTAGATGTATCTAAAACATGTGTCAGACATGTCAACTGAAATATTGCTATTTGAACACACATGAAGTAAGGCACCTATGTAGAACCAGAGGCTTTCAAAAAGTGAGGTGACATGCACAGTTCATAGCCCAGTCTCTGTAACTCAAGGATTTGGGTAAAGTCTTGGGACAGAATCAGAACAGACTTAGGCAGACCCTGCTATGAATCACCTCTTTACCCCTTGATCAGAATAGTTTCTGGAAGAGGAAAATAGTGTTTTTCTTGTAGCTGGGGAGGAAAATCATTTACTTTATCTTATTTTTCTGAAGTAATGCAATTTAATAATACTAAAATGTATATCATAATGCCTAGAACATTGTGAAAAGTATGTAAACAGATGTACTGTGTGATGCTATAAACTAAGGTGGAATCCTGAAAAGGACTCTGGTGACACATATGGAAGAAACAAGAGACAGAGGAAACCACTGAAAAGAAGTAATAAATGAGGTTTGCCCTCTAACTTAATAATTACTTTTATCATAAATTGTCTAAGTACTTTAATCCAGAGACAAGCTACCTGAATAAAAAAATGCAACCCAGCCCTGTGCCCTTGACAAGAAAGTCACTTCAGATTGACTGACTTAGGTCACTTGAAGTACTGTATAGAATGAAGTAAATAAAAAATATATCACCATAAAAAAGTTACTTCAAGAAAATTTGGGTGGGGGTGCTAGTGTACGAACAAATACCCTTCAGAATGATGAAAACAAAGACAAACAGGTTACATTCATAACATAAAAGATGGAAGAAGGAAATATCCCAATCTAAACATTTTCATTAGAAAAGTCCTTGAAACCTTTATAGAGGATTTAGTGTCCATCTTATACAACAGTTTGCAGAAAATGGTTAATGGTAGAATAGTTGTGTTGTCTTGCTTAAAGGACTTCACAAAGATGTGAAAGCAATTAAATGGAGAAAAGTAACCTTTCTAACAAATGGTTCTAGAGCCGCCACAGGTTCACAAAGAAAAGCATGGATGGACTTCATATAAAATGTATAACTGTAGAACTTGTGAGAAAAAGCATAGGATAAAATATTCAAAATCTAGGAATAGGAAAATAGTTCTTAAATGATATACCAATAAAAAGTGGATAAAAGAAAAAAATTGATGAATTGAATCTCATCGAAATTAAAACTGCTTTTTGAAAAACCATGTGACTGTGGTTAAAAAAAAACAAGCTACAAGTCAGGAGAAAGCATTCGTAAGTCATGTATTTGATATTTTTAATCTGGTATATATAAAACCTCTCAAAACCATAAAAAAATTTCAGATTAGAATATGGGCAAAAGAGTCAAAGAAACTTTTTGCTTAAGAGTTATTAGATAGAAAATAAGCACATGAAAAGAAACTCAACATCAGTAGGGATCAGGGGCTGGGGATTTAGCTCAGCGGCATAGCGCTTGCCTGGCAAGCGTGAGGTTGTGAGTTCTATTCCCAGTACTGGAGAAAAACCAAAAAAAAAAAAAAAAAAAAAATCAGTAGGGATCAAGAATTTAAAAGTTAAAATAAGTATCACTGTACATACCTCAGAATAGCTAAAATTATAAAAAATAGTGATAGCAAATATTGGCAACAGTCAGAAAAAAGATCACTTACATGTTTCTTATGGGAATGTCAAGTGGTATAGTTATTCTGGAAAATCATTTGATGTTTCTTAAAAGAAACTAAATATGCAACTGTCATTTGACCTAGAATTTAACTCCTGGGCCTTTTAACACAGAGAAATGTTATTTATGTTGATTGAAAATACAGGAATGTTGACATCTGTATTACTTGTAATAACTGAAGATCAGAAACATCCTGTATATCCTAAATAAATAAGAGACACTATTGTACATCCATACTGTTGTACATCCACACCATGTAGCATGTCAGGAAGACGTTGCTCTCAGGCTGTTTTCAGTCTGGAAGGGAAGAAAAGTAAACAAAAAGCATCCAAAAATTAATTTATCTAGTTTATTTATGTGGATGATTCATACAGAATAAAACAGAAAAGGGAACAGAGAGTAATGGCCTGAAGGTCAAATTAGGAAAAGAATTCCATATGTAATGCCATTAAAAGGAATAAAGTACTTAAGAATAGATTTAACAAAGAAACAAGTATTAGATTTTAAAAACTATAAAACATTTTGAAACAGTAAAGAAGACTTAAATAAATGAAAAGACACCCCATATTGATACATAAAAGTATTAATATTATTTAAATATCAGTACTTCCTAGATTTATCTGTACATTAATTTAGTGCTTTCTTTGCAGATACTGACACGCTGATAATTGTAGATGTCATAATGGAAATACAAAGACCCAGAATAGCTAAAACAAGCTGGGAATATAGCTCAGTGGCATACCGCCTGCCTGGCAGGCGCAAGGTCCTAAGTTCGATTCCTGGTACTGAAGAAAAGAAAAAAAGAATAGCTAAAACAGTTTTGAAAACTGATAAACAAATTTTTTATATTCACCCTTTGTCATTTCAAAATGAAAGTTATAGTAATTAAGATAGTATGGAGCTAGTAGTAAATTTGAAATTGAGAGTGTGGAAATAAAGTCTGAAATTTATGGTTAATTGATTCTGGATAAGAGTCCTTCAAAAATTCAGGGGAGTGCATGTGCATGGACAAGTGCCTTTTGTCCAGTGCACTGTTAATGGAAATTGCATCACTTGTACTTTTTGCCTAGTGTGCATAATACTTTTTTCTTATTTGATCAGTCTTTTCTCACACATGCATAGATGGCAGTTGCCTGTATACTTAGGAATGGGGTAGATTTGGCTTATGAGTCTATTCCACAGTACTAACTAATACACAATTGTACAGAGTGGTGTGTCCAGTTATAATTTAATCAGCAGTATCTCAGCATGTTTGCCAACACTTGGCATTTTCAGCCTAATTTAGAATTTCTGATATGTACGTAGTTGTGGTTTTATTGTATATTTCTCTGAAAGCTAATAACTTGGGGACCTTTTTGTATGGCTTTGTATGTCTTTTATTGTGAAGAACCTGTGAAAATGTTCTCCTATTTTCTTCCTGAATGATTCCTTTCTTAACAGTTTGTAGGCCATCGTGTACTGTGGGTTAGAGACATTGTTATATATGTTACAAATACTTTTTCCTTCCTGCTGGGTGTGTTTAAACAGAAATTCTTGATTTTAATGAAACTCACTTTATTAATCTTTTCATTTTTTTGCCTTTTATAAAAATACAGGTGGTGATAGTCTTTTTTAAAGAAATCCTTCACTACAAAAATAGCTCAAAATACTCTTTTAATGTTTATTAGTGACAAGACGATGTAGTGGGGAAAGAAAAAGAAATTCTGTATTATTTTTTAGGATTTTATGATTTGAACTTTTACATTTAGAACTGTAATTTGAATAATTTTTGTATTGTGTTGCTGTAGAGAATTATATATCTTCACTATCACCTATGTATTTTAATGTTGATTTTTTTATTACTAAAACAAGTGTATTTAAAAAATGCTTTCTTACTATTATATATATATCTATGTATATATCTGTCTCTATATTTGTCTGTGTCATTTATTTTTATTCTTATTTTTACTTAGATCCTTGTGCTTTCTTTGGGGTTCATTGGCTGTTTTTCTTTGCTTTCAAATGGATATATAGCTCTTAAATGAATTCTTTTTAGCTTTTCCTTTTTTATTCTGTACACATTTCTTGTATATATTTTCCTCTTAATAGTTTCTGACACTGAGTGGTCTCATCTTCTTGTTGAGTTTTTATTTCTTTTAGTTAAAAAATATTTTTACGATTTCCATTGTGATTTTTTTCCTTCACCTGTGGATTGTACATAATCACTCTTTCTTAGTGTTAGAAATAGCTCTACCCAAAATCATGTCTGTTTTCAACCTTAATAAGTTATTTTTGTTTTTATTATTACTAAATCATTCTTTATCATATGTAGATAAATCTTTGCTTAGTTGTCAAAAGTAATTCCACAAATTATGTTATGTATTCATATTTTAGATACTGTTTCTTCAGGTTCACTTTTCCTTTAGTTTCTTTAATTGATAGAATTATTAGTAACAATGATTAAATGTATGAGTAGTGACTTATAAAAAGTTTTATATATATATTATAATCTGTAGTTCCTTATTCTGCTTCCTAATTATATTATTTTAGTTGTTCTTACTAGCCATTTCTACTGTGGAATGAGTTGTGTCAATATTTAACCTTGTGTGTATGTGTGTAGATAATTAATATTTTGTATTATTCTTTGCAGAATCAGAGAATTCCATCAGACATGGTGTTTCTCAGAACTTCAGAGAAAGCAGGTATCTTATTTTGCAATGCTGCTGATTTAGTATTATGGCAGTTTGATACTTATTTTTAAAGATAAAAGTAAAATTTATGTCTGAAGATTTCTGTTTGGATGATACTTTGAACTCACTAATTTCTAAATCACTTCTGGTTATTGCTATTTGAAAAGATAACTTGATTTTATAAAATGTTTGCTTAAAAAATAATATCAGAAGTTATCTGTCCAGTGAATATTTTCATTCAGATTTATATTGAGACCTTGTTAATGATGTCACTCAAAATTTGATTGCTATTTTCTATTTGCAGTTTTATTATCAATTGTGTAAAAAATTATCTACCTCTTATTTAGCCCTAGAGACTAACTGTTGCTTGAAATATAAAAAGAAGTAAGATCCATTTATATCCTTCAAAGAGTTCATGTTTTACATATTTGTGGAAACTCATACATTGACAGTTAGTATTACTCCTATTGTATGGGTACTATAACGGTGAGAAGAATTATTTTGGGCTGTAGGAAAGGAGACAGTTTTGCCTGGGTAAGTTGCTATGAGTTTCACTAGAAGAGTAATATTTAGATGATCTGAATTTTCAACAGTAAGAAGAAATTGGAAAGGGGTAATAGGATAGAACTTCATATGGCCAAACTTGAAATTTTCCAACTTGAGCAAAAGCCATGTTGGAAACAGGACATCTTATTTCTAATCTTTTTGGCCTATTCATAATGACATGATTCAGCTACTGCATCTGGGCACATTTTTATCATCTCTGAGCTAAGGGCAGTTACATAAAGAAATGTAGAGGTCCTTTCTGCCCTACACTTGCAGCTTGAACAAATGAACCACGTTTTTATAGGAAGCTTAGTATATTCTTACTTTAAAGCTTAACATACATATTATTTCTAGTGTGAATACCCTAGGATTGAGTTTGATTTCAGAATTCTTGATTTTTTCTCCCCTTCATAAACAGCATTTTTAAATTAGTGTATGTTTATGATACAGAATAATAATGTTCTATTTAGGGAATTATACATGCATATCACATATCTTGATCATTATTAATCCCCTTCCTCTCCCCCATCCTTTTCCTATCTCTTAAGAGTCTGCCATCTAGTTTCCTATCAGCTTTCCTTTATTTTATTCATTTATTTGTGTTTTAGATTTCTCATATAAGAGAAAACATGAGATACTTAAACTTTCTTTTCTTTGTCTTGTTTCACTTGGCATGATGGTCATGAGTTCCATCAGTTTTTCTGCAAATGACACAATTCTGTTCTTTATGGATGAATAATATTTCCCTGTATATATATATCTTCATTTGTTCATGGGCACCTAGGCTTTTTCCAGAATGTAGCTTTGTGAAGTGCATTGCTATAAACATGGGTATGCATGTATTACTGCAGTATGATGTCTTTAATTATTTTGAGACTATATCCAGGGGAGAGCTGGGTCAAATGGAATGATGGGTCAAGTGGAATTTCTAGTTTTAGTTTTTAGAGGACTCTCCATACTGATTGTATAGTGGTTGTACTAGTTTTTCATTCCCACCATCAGTGTAGGAGGGGTGCATCCCACTTCCCCATCCTTGCAGGAATTTATTATTTTTTTGTATCTTGCTAGCCGTACTGACACTGATAAGATAGAATCTCAGAATTGCATTGCCCTAATGGCTAAAGATATTGAACAGTTTTTCATACACTTATTGGCTATTGATACTTGTTCTTTGGAGAAGTGTCTTTTCAGTTTGTTGAACCCTTTTTGATCGAGTCATTTGTTTTGGAGAGGATTAATTTTTTTGAGTTCTGGATATTAGTCCTCTATCAGAAGAGTAGCTAACAATAATTTTTTTTGTTCAGTAGGTTGTCTTTTCATTCTCTTGTTTCCTTTGCTGTGCAGAAACTTTTTAATTTGATGTAATTTTATTTGTTGATTCTTGATACTATTTCTTGGGCTATTGGAGTTGTACTCAGAACGTCTTTGCCTCAGAACGAGGCTGCCATCAGTACAGGAATTATCCCTCATAATCAGGTGACTTATGTACTTGGTTATTGAATTTGTAATGTGTTACTTAATGTGAATGTGTGCCTATGGGTTCAAGTGTTTTCCCTGTGTTATCTTTCAGCAGTTTCATTTCTTGCTATATCTAAGTTTTTGGTCCCCTTTGATTTGATTTTTAAAGCAGGGTAACAGGTAGGGATTTATTTCCATTCTTCTGCAAATGGATATCCAGTTTACCACTGCCATTCATTAAAGAGGCTATCTTTTGTTCCAATGTATTTTTGGTCCTTTTGTAAAAATCAGATGGCTGTAGGTGCATGTTGTTATTTCTGTGCCCTCTGTTGTATTCCAGTGATCTACATGCATGTTTTTGTGCCAGTACTGTGTTGTTTTTGTTACTGAAGCTTTGCAGTATAACTTTTCTTATATTAGATTGGGGATTGCTTTGCTCTTATTTTTCTAGGTCCTTGAGATGCATCATTTGGTTATTTATTTGGAATCATTCTTTTTCTAATGTAGGCACTCACAGCTAAACTTAGCTCTTAGAATTGCTTTCATTGGGTCTCACAGATTCTCATGCATTGTATTTTCATTTTTTTTTTTTTTTTTTTAGTTTTTCTCCGGTACCGGGAACCGAACTCACGACCTTCCGCTTGCCAGGCAGGCGCTTTGCCGCTGAGCTAAATCCCCAGCCCCTGTATTTTAATTATTTTTGATTATGTGAATTTTTAAATTGCTGGTTTCTTCAGTGACCATTGTTCATTCAAGTATTTATTATTCAGTCTCCATGTATTTGTATAGCTTTTGTGGTTTCTTTTGCTTAGACAGCATATTTTCAGAATGAACATTTTTACATCATGAGAAAATATTTTCTCTTTTGGCCAGCTTTAGTTTTGGTGGTTTACCTTGTCAGTTGAGGCTGCCATCAGTAGTGGAATTATCCCTCCTAATCAGGTGACTTATGTACTTGGTTATTGATTTTGTAATGTGTTATTTAATGTGAATTTTTATTTTCCCAACTTTATTTTCCTTCCCTGTCCAGTTAGGTGATGCCGTGTGACTGACCTCTGGCCCAAGGAAGGGGGCTGAAAGTCTTGTTAACTTGATCTTGCCTCTCTTGTGCTCATCTGCTCTTCCTCGCTGCCAAGTAGGTAGCCTTGGAACTTATTATTAGAGGGTCAGAGCTTTTGTTATCTTGGTTTCTGGAATGACTCTGTGGAACAGGGTCCCTCTTGTCCCATGACCATATGGATTCTATGTGAGAGTTAAAGATATTCACATTTTCAAACATTGAAGTTGTATATTTACTCTTTAGAGTAACTAGTGTTCACTTAAACAGTATCTTATTCCAGTTGGTCTCCATATTGGAAAGAGTCTTACTAACTGTTTTAAAATTGTGTCATTTGCTTTTAGAATTTTGCGCTTGGCCATGTTGGAGTATAATACGCTTCTTTTCCAAGTGCTTCTGGTCTTAGAATGCAGAGGGACTGTCTATAGATTTTTAGAAGTTCAACAGTACGTGTCATTCATAATTTGATGTATTGAGTGTGGTTCATTGTTGCATAGTGCAGACTGCTAACTGCTGCGGGAAGTCCGTTAGGCCAGAGTCCCTCCCAGTCTTCTTAAGTACAGCCACATTCTCTTTCTGTGAGACACTGGAAGGATGCATATGATAGAGCACATATACCCAGGATTCAGCTGTTGGCAGTCCCAGATGTGTACTTCTACAAATACCTCATAAGCTCCCTTTATGTGTCACTGCATCTGATTGCTAGTGTTTTGTTAAGGATTTTTGCCTCTGTATTCATAGAAAATATATTAGGCCATAGGCTTTAAAATTTTTTTCCCCCCTTATTATATTTTTGTTTTGGTATCAAGGTAGTTCTTATCTTACTATCAGTTATGAAGCATTCCTTTCTCTTCTATTTTTTGAAGAATTATTACTTATTTAAATTTTAGGTAGAATTTACTCATTTGGATCTGCATTTTTAAAAAAGTTTGAAAATTATTCATTTTCTTTATTTGTTAGAGGACTTACCATATTGTCTGTTTCTTCCTGAGTTAGCTTTTGGTAGTTTGTGGGTTTTTTTTTTTTTTGGAATTTGTCCGCCTTATTTAGATTATCTTATTTTTTAGCATACTGTCGTTTTTGTTTATTTCCTTATAATCTTTTTTATTTCTGTACTGATGTATCTTCCTTTGTTCATGATTTTAATAATTTGATTCTATTTTTTAATCTGAATCACTCCAGGTAAAGACTTGTCAATTTTATTGATGGTCTCAAAGAACTAACTTTAGGTTTTAATAATTTTCTCAATTTTTTTCCTCTTCTTTTATTTATTAATTTCTGTTTTTATTATTCCTTCTCCCATTTGTTTTGGGTTCTGTTCTTATTTTTGTAGGTTTTTTTTTTTTTAAGATTTAAGGTTAGGTTTTTGATTTGAGATCTTTAAAATGCAGGTTCTTATAACTGCATATTTTTGTGTAAACACAGTTTTTGCTGTATCCCATAAGGTTTAGTATGTTATGCTTTCATTTTAAACTTCTCAAAATTTCCAGTTTTTGCTGTTGTTTTTGCTCTTTCCTTGGCCTATTGTTTGATCATGAAAATGCAATGTGATCAGCATTCACCAATAGAAAGACAGACTCCTAAAAATATTATAATGTGACCTGGATCTGACAGTGTCAGACTTGAGATTCTCCCCCAAAGTCAAAATGACCATAATCGGTATACATTTTGAATTGATTCAGGACATTGAGGCAGCGACCATGAGAGTACACCTAAAGAAGACTTTCACAAATGCTTTAGAAAGTGGCAAGAACAATGGGATAAGTGTATTGGAAACAAGGAGTGTTTTGAGGGGTTTAATGGAAATGTGTGTTAGTGCAGTAAATTTTTAAAAATTTAAACACCATATTTTAAAATCATACTTTGTATGTTTAATTTTCCCATATTTATGGATTCCCAAAACACCGTCTTGTTTCATTCCATTGTGGTTGGAGAACATACTTGCTGTTAT